GGCAAAGCCTAATTTAATAAATGATATTGATGAGGTGGTTGAACATAGCCGACACAGGCTCAGCAAAGCCTTGAGAGCAGAGGGAATGCCAAACAGGGGTACATTGAGAGCGGCCTGTGACCACCGGCAAGTCACTCCTCCTCTCCAGCCCCAGAGAGGAGGAGTGAATAAGCAGTAAGAGGAGGAGTGAATCAAACTGGCTGGGAATAAGCAAGATGGCAATGCATTTCCAGTCCCCAGCTCCCAAGGCCTGGTTTCCTCAGTTTGTAAACTGATGGGGTTGGTTGCACTGTGTTTAGAATCCTGACAAAATAGTGAGTGTGGGCTGAAAGAAGCCAGCATTTGTTAAGTATCTTCTGTGTGCCAGAGCTATGCTCCTGCTGGGCAGCCTCATTCAATCCTCACAACAGCACTGTCATCTCCACCTTGCAAATAAGGAAGCCAGGTCTATCTGATCTGGAAGCCCATGTTAGAGCATGCCATCTCTCAAGCACTTCAACCTCAGGGAAATGGTGATGCTGAAGGACTTTTCTTTGGCAATATTTATAGGACACGATAGGAGCGGCGGCTTGCACAGCAGTTTCAAGAAAAAAGAGGAAGCAGGAAACAAAGCCACAAGGAGAAACTGAATTCCCTGACCATCTCCTCTGTCTCTGAGTCCTGTAATGCTAGTGGAAGTTGGCCACTGTGGTGTGACTAAATTAACTATCTTGGCGGAAGCTGCAAGAGACAGCATGCAAAATTGCAACTCCTTTTATAATTTGTGTTGACATCCCAGTAGAAAAATGAGAAAAGGCATAGAAAAATAATTTATGGAAGAAAAAAATACATAAATGGCAAAACAATTTTATGGAAAACTTTAGCCAGAAATCAAAAAGAAGTGTTCATTAAAACAATAATGAAAAAATAAAGATTTTTAAAACTCTAAAAATTATGTCAGGATCCAAATATATGGTAATTATTTTTAAAATATGTATGATGATACACTGGAATACTATGCTGGTATTAACATTACTGTTTAATAATATAGAAATACAATATACGGATGTGAAGAAAAGCTGGAAACAAAACTGTATAAATGGTAGAATTCCGAATTGAAAAATGTGTACTTATGTACAGAAAAAAAAACTGGAAAGAAATCTACCAGAACATTATCCATGTTTATTTTGGTGTGATTACTTTATTGCCTTTTAGTTCTTTTTCACATACTCTGAAATCTAAGGGAGTATATGCTACTTTGTTGATGAAGAAAGCCAAGCAGGAATCAGAACTACCAGCTGTTTAAGTCAGGGTTACAGCTATGAAATGAGGGGTTCAGAGCAACCTAGATGACTTCCACAGTTCTTTTGAGCTCTAACATTCATTCACTCATTCAACAAGCATGTGTAGAACATCTGCATGGAACTATGGATCATACACTGACCCTTGGCCCTCCAGAACTGGACTCTGGCCAGACCGGAAAGCAAAGTTTGAGTTTGCTGCCTCCTGGTGTCATATAACTTGCCTATTTCTTGCTAAGCTGCATAGACCTTATCTTCTCCCCTTCTCCTCTTCCCCTTGTCAAGTCCTGTTCTCACGACAAATTCAGATTCAGGGGATGTAAGTGATTGGCAACATCTCAAAGGTCTACCTCTCCCAGAGGACCTTGACTAAGTCGGGACAAAAATCTTACCCTAAAGAAATGAGGCCCTCTTGGCCAAATTTTAGGAAAAAGCTAGCAGGTGGAAAAATACTTGAGAGCCATCAGAATATGTGCTGTTTTACCAGTAATTCCTACTCATTTCACAAACCAGTTCTGGCTCTTCCTCTTTCCTCTACTCTCCCCGAGAAACTTACAAGTTGCTCTATTGTTACAGCAACCTCCCTGCACTGTAGCTCTTAGTTCGCGTGTTTTCTTCCGTGTTCAGCTGTGAGCCACTTGAGGGTCTCATGTTCCCTGTATCCACAGCATCTATCCCAGCACCCCAACATAAAGTAGGTGGCACATGCATGACTAATTGAATGGCATTTCAAGTGCCCCTCATCAGGCAGTGACCTCCTGGCTCTGTGGATGAAGCTGTTTCTGGCTCTTTTCATTGACATCCCTTAGAGATGCAGACAAAATATACGTGACTGGCCATAGCGCCCTTGGAGTTTCTTACAATGGGGTGGCCCTAGTGTGAGGAGCTATGAGCTTCTAAGTCCTAGAAATTCCTCAGCTGTTTCAGCCTAGGGATGGCAACTCCTCACTGGAGAGCGAAATCAACTTAATAGGTTGAGATCGATTTTTAAAGTGAAATAGAAGAGAACGGGATAAAAATAGAAAAAAATTTTTTTAATTCCCCAGGTAATAATAATAAGTATAGTTCCATGAAATTTTTGTTTCTGGTGTGTGTGTGTCTGTGTGTACTGGGTCATAGTCAGTTATAATAAAAAGTGTCAGAAGCTGCCTTAAGCTGCAAGGGGGAAGGGAGCCGCCTCCCCTCCAGCTATTTGCCCATGGCTGAGACCACACTGCCTGATGGATGGACACTGGGAACTACCTCCTCTTTTCCCCCTACCCCCTAACAGCCACAGCCCTGGAAGCTGGCAGACTATTTTTCTTAGTGCAAGTGTGGGGTCTAGAGGATTAAGAGGACAAAATAGTTATTTTGACGATGACAAAAGTTTAAAGACGTGTTCACTCTTTCCACTCATGGACTTCTTGGAGCCATTTTTTCCCTTGATGCTGCACCTGACAAGTATCTCAACAAAGGCCTGCCCCTTCCTCACCTTCACTAATGGAGCCCAGGCCTCCGCCTCGGTTTGGACTTTTGCATAAGCAGTGCCTCCAGGCCATGTACTTCTCGGCCATGCTGGTGGTACAGCTGGCATCATCAGACCCGGGCCCAGAGGCTGAGCAACTCTGTTTAAGGAAGACTCTTGAAACCGTCTTAAACAGTCTACCCAGAAGCCCTTTGGGCATTTTCGCACTGATTTCAGGAGAGGCGCAGTATAGGTATCACGTACTGCCTTCATCTGCAGTAGCTGTGTAACCTTGGACAACTTAGCCTCTCTGCTTCAGTTTCCCCATCTATAAAATGGAATTGGTAACTGTACCTACTTAATAGAATAAGGATTAAGCAAGCTAACACATACCAAGTGCTTAGGACAGTCCCTGTACTTAGTAAGCATTTAATTAGCATTATTATTATTTAATCATTTCTTAAGCCTGCATGATAGTTATTATTTTTCTATATTTATAGATAAGAAAATGAGGCTCTGAGAAATTACGTAATTTGCCCTGCGTCCTATGCCTAGTAGAGACAAAGCCAGAACTTAAATCCGGATATCCTGACTTCAAGTTCTGTGTTCTTTTTCTCCTAATGATGCCTCACTCCAGCTTTAGCAGCCTAGGGGCATCAAATTAACTCCTGTCGTGAACTTTTCCTTATCGGTCTCTGCTGGGCTGGCACCCAACTGTGGAAAGGGCACTCTTGGATCAAAGGTGTCTGGAGGGATGGTAAGCCCAGGGGAAGTTCCTGTTCATGATTTTGCATAGTCTTTGGGGACATATATACTTGGGGGAGCTAGAGATAGATAGATAGATAGATAGATAGATAGATAGATAGATAGATAGATAGATAGATGATAGAAAGAGATTTCTTTTTAAAAAATTAGAATCAGAAATGAATGTCCTTGACTGTACTGGCCAACCAAAGGCAATCTTTTGGAGTTCTAGGCTAACTGGACAGCAATGAGCATATAGGGGAGAATCCTTATGCCTTCTATTAAGTTTTCATAACAATGTCTCTTGATAACTGAGTATGGCAGTTTGAAATGGAGATACAATGTAAGTGTTGGTTTCATGGGCTAAGCAGCAGCTAAGTTCTATGTCCTGTTCTTTTCCAGCCTGTGATTTGCTCATTTCTATAGAATAAAGTCTTAATAACTATCCCTGCTTTCTCTTTTCTTGCAACCCACAGAGAGAACTGAACTTCCACATTCAGCACTCAAGGTTGGAAATATATTTTTGATGTATTTGGGATAGTTTTGCTGGATTTTATGACAGTCAATGTTTCAATTGGAAAAAATTCAAATCCACATGGGTTTTATACGATAATTCTGTTAATCAAACTGTTTCATCAACCTGAGTTCTCTGATTGCACTGGTTAATAAACTGTAATTCTCAAATATCCTTTTCACAGGTTTGCGCCTGGGCTAGGCATGGGGACTGATGAGGCATCTTGGTGCCCACTAGCATTCTTGGCACCCTCAGGCACTCTTAAAGTATAAGCCATCTTAAGCTGTCCAGGAGGAGCTGCAGGAATAGTTTCTGGGGCACTCGCAAAGGATTAGAAAATGGGCCCCAGTGCCAGGTTACAAACAGGCAGGCCATGTAATGCAGATAAAATAAGAACTGACTTCAGCTCTGCCCTAAAGTCACACCAACAACTTTCTGAGGAAAAAAAAAAAAAATCACATAAATGAATATGCCGCTCAGAAAATCTGCACACAACTACATTCTGTAATGCTGACTGACAGCAAATCACAAGAGAGGAGAGTCATTTAGTGATATTTTCCATCTGACCCCCAGAGAGAGGCAAGGTCAAGTAACTCTGGTCTCTCCAGGATCACAGGGAGATTTGAGGGAGCAGAGTGGGCACACTGAGTGACATCCACAAGTAGTCCCTGGATTTCATTTCAGCCAACCGTTTTAACAACAGTTTCTGCATTCTATCTGGGAAACAGTGACTGGGACAAGGGCCCTTGAAAAGTCAAGGGGGCCATAGAGACTTTACATCAGACCCATCATAGTGTAGCACGTTTGGTCCTCTTCATTTGAAGAGTTAGGACCCACCCCTCATTGTTCACACACCCCAGCTGTGCAACAAGGGCATCTGATTCACATGAGGCCAAAATAAAGCAGACCTCAGTATATATTCTCTGCATCCTCGTTCCCATATCCCAACCCCTGGCCAAAGGCATTCCCTCAGCACCTCACTGAGGCAGCGCGGACAGCACGCCCTTTGATGACTTACCTCAAGCACGATTTCTTTCAGTTGGAACTGTTTTTGCGCGACCTTATCTGAAGACACCGGCTCGTGGTAGTAGAGGCAGAGCAAGTCATATTTCTTTAAAACCTGCTTGAAGTTCTTCTCGGAAAGACTTACCACTCGGTCCTTCCCATCATATGTGGGGAAATTAAGCCCCTCTTCTGCCCTGCAAGAGGACAGAAAATAAACCCCCACAATAAACAAGTGAGTTCTCTTCATTTGGAAAAATTTTTGTTTCTTGTTCCCAAATATGCCGTGTGCAGAAGAAAGGACAGAAGACTATTAGAGGCCTTATTGAGCCAAGCAGGGAGCAGACAGGCTGATTTTGTCTCTCTTCTTTGCCCTTCCTGGGGCGGAGAAGTGACTCTTCACCTCCTTGGGTCCAGCCAGCTCTGGAATCGTGGGCTCAGGACAAAGAGCAGAGGCGCACACACTCACTCACACACACACACACACACACACACGCACGCGCGAGAGTAGAAAAACAGCCAAGCTAGGGAGGCTGGGAGGCCAAGCCCCAGATACCTTACATAGCTCTGCTCAGCCTCTGTCTCATTAGGAACTCCATTTTTAGGATGCAGTTGTTTCAGGCTAAAAATAAATCATGCAATGATAAAAAAGTTAGATACGACACTGTAGAGGGATTCGCTGATACAGTCTGTCCAAATGGCGAAGAGGGAAGAGGCAGGAGGAAAAAGACAAGAATGTGCACGCATGAAATAAGGAGGCTAGAAAGGTCAAAGAAGAGAAGAAACTCGAGAGGAGAGAGATAAGGGACTATGGTGCCAATAAGCAAATGAGGAGTTCAAACATACAGAATGACACTCATGCATTACTGAATTGTTCAATCACTCCAGGGAGGTAACTCAGCCTGTGGTTGCTCACCCTCTGTTCCTCACTGCAACATGAAACAAAACGGAGCCCCAAGGTAGACTTCCTCATGTTCTACTCCTGTTTTTTTCTGCCTTCCATCCTCTCTTCTTAAAAATCCTCTGCCAGCCACTGGCGAGGGTGCAGGGACACCCTGCTGAACCCAGCTGACACCAGAAGAATCTGTCCTCATTAGAATAAAATGAAACAAGGTTCACAGCTCAAATCCCTACTCAGCCTTTTAACAGCTAATGAACTTTGGAGGGTCACTTGCCCCTCTGATGATCAGTTCCCCTCTATGTAAAGTGGGGATGATAATAACCGTAAAGTTTAAAACACATAGATGAACAAGCATGGCACAAAATAGGTGCTCAAAAATGGTAGCTATTGTACTTCCTTCTCACTGGAGCTGGTGGAACATTGGTTATAATGGATATTTGTCTGTTTCTAATATGAATGTTTTGTGAACCCTTTCTTGTCCATTTTCTCCTTGAATCCAGTAGGCAACTGGGGCAGAAGTGATCAGGGCTCATCCCACCACTGAGCTAACAGCAACTTGTCTGAGTTTGCAGCGTTTCTAACTGCCAGAGCAAGAATTCCACCCTGCCTCAAAGCTGCTGCTCCTGGTTGTCTTGCCTCTGACTCTGGGTGATTCCCTTGCAAACACCCCTTTTCTTAAGTACCTTCTTGAGCATCTCTTCCAGTCCAACCCTAGTCCAGTCATGTCTCTCCACTCTTCAAAGGCATCTAGGGCACTCATGATTCTGACCAAGTTTCTGTTCTCCTTCAGTTATAAATCAGCTTTGAAAAGACAGAGTACTCTGTCACACACAGCTTTTGCAGGCGTTAGAGGGCAAAGAGAAGACCTGTGGCCTCTATGAGTAAGGCAAGGCTCCCCTGCAGTCAGAGGGCCTTACATTGAGAGTCAGGCTGATGAGGGGTTGTCTTGATGCTACACTTTCATGTGCAGGAAGTTGGGGCCTTGAAGAACCCATCACTAAAACCCTTGACAGCCTTCCATTCTTTCTAATGGTGTAGTCTCTAAGTTTTCAAAAGATGGAGCCAAGAATATCCATGCTAAGGTGCACTTAGCTTTCCAAGTCAGTGGCAAGCATGCAAGATCTCTGCTTTCTTTAGGAAATTTAAGGGGGAAAAGATTTCTGAGTGAAACAATGTGTGTCTTGTCTTTTTGAGGTCAGCCTCCCCAAACTGTTCCCAGTTGTCTTGATCTCACTGGGTTACCTTTATTTAGAATTTGCTCCACTTTTCTTAATATGTAAGTAGGTTTAACTGTTACTGAAAAATCGGGAGATATTTAAAGTCAAAGTCCTTGAATTTCCTTCTGACTTATAATTGACAAAACTATAAGGGAAAAGAAATAATTTTTTAAAATTTAGTTTAGCCTTCAAGTCTGGTTTACTATGAAAAGCCTGAGCTGTGGAAAGTTCCTGCCCCTAGATCACGGACTCGATTTGGGCCAGGCAGCCCAGCCCTGAGAACAGGCAGCCACTGACATATGCTGTGGTGATCATGTTTCCCCCAAGCAGCCACGGTAGATATGAGGTCTACATTCATGCCCCACTCTCAGCAAGAGGTAGGTTTTCATAGTTTGCATTTAACATACCAGGCTTATTTTCTATCGGCCTTTCATTTTCCTATTTTTGTTTTTCCTCTGCCTTATTGATCACCAACTTTAATTATTTTTCTTTTTCTTTTCTTTTTTTTTTGAGATGGAGTTTCGCTTTTGCCGCCCAGACTGGAATGCAATGGCCCTATCTCGGCTCACCACAATCTCCACCTCCCAGGTTCAAGCCATTCTCCTGCCTCAGCCTCCCGGGTAGCTGGGATTACAGGCACGCACCATCACGCCTGGCTAATTTTGTATTTTTATTAGATACGAGGTTTCTCCATGTTGGTCAGGCTGGTCTTGAACTCCCAACCTCAGGTGATCCGCCTGCCTCAGCCTCCCAGAGTGCTGGGATTACAGGCATGAGCCACCCGGCCCAGCCAATTCATTTATTTTTTAAACAAAGAATGCTTCACACATTTCTGAGTCAACCTTACCTCCTGCAAATCAGCTGTTTTGTTCCAGCTTTAACTGCGGCCCAAGCCAATGTGTCATGCACTTCTAGTTTATGTGGTTGTGCTGAAATGTTTTATGTGCCATTAGTAGGTACTTTTTGTTTTGTTTTTGAACAAGGGGTAGAACAAAACACACAAATCAATACAAATAAATGTTTATTGTTGTCACAATATATGGCATAGGCCCCTTGTTTTCCTAACCATTTCCAGTCCTTCACTGTGAGTGGTGGCCACCTAGAGTCCCTTAATCTAACCTAGCTCATTTACTTTGTTTATTCTTGACAGGTGGCAGAATGACTTTCTCTCAGACCATTTTATCTACAAAGAGAAACGTATGTCTTTTCTCACGCCTCCCTTCGAAGGTCTGCAGGTCTCTATCTGGGTGCCTCTGAGGCGGCTTAGCGAGAAAGAACCGCCCCCAGAAAGGCAGGAGACCTGGGTTCCCGCCTGCCTGTGTGATTAGGTTAGGAGCCCTCAGGCTGGGGCCCTAGCACTCGAAATTTGTGAAAGAGGGTTAGAGTCACCAAGCTCCTACGGCCCCCTTTCTGGCTCTAAGATGTTAAAATCTGTTACAAGATTTTCTTTACCAGGATGGGCCTCAGCCCAACACACAGGTGTGATGAAGTTTGATGAATGTTAGCTGCGGAGGAGGGTTTTGATGGGCGTGACTCCGGACGAGTCCAAGCTTGCCTCTTCTCCAAGGCAAAGATCGCCTACAAGTCACTGCTGCCAAAGCCCCCTTCGTTGGCTAAAATACTCCACCCAGTGGACAAAACAGAAAATGGCCTATTTCTTTGCTCCGGTTCCTAGAGGAAGCACAGCCTGGTAGAAAGAATGCAGAAATACTAGGGTCTAGAGCCCTGTGCCCCATGAGCCTCCGGCATCCTCTGGACAGATCTAAACAAGTTTGTTAGCAACTCCAAGGCCGTCCTTTTCTCTCAACTTTATCAGGTGGTCCCTGGAGCCTTCCTGCTCCTCTGCACGAGGAAACTCTTCAACAGAAACAAGCAGAAAGAGCTCAATGTTATCCTGAAAAGAGCCCCAAAGCTCCAATATGAGTCAGGTTTTGACAAATGTCACTTCCTTTAAGGAGGCCCTCAGTGTAGACAGGACTGACACTGAGTCCCCTTACACACTGTACTTCTCCTTGGAAACACTTCTCTCACGGGAAGCCTTCTCCCTCTCCGGCTGAACCTCATTGCTGCAGGGGCAGCATCTGCTCACAGCATCCTCATAGCAAGTAGTAGTTTCATTAAATGCTTAGTAAATAAATCTGTAGCATTACTTTGTGGCCTGGCCCGTGGCTCACACCTGTAATCCCAGCACTTTAAGAGGCTGAGGCGAGAGGATCACCTGAGTCAGGAGTTTGAGACCAGCCTGGCCAACATAGCAAACCCCATCTCTACTAAAATACAAAAAGACAGGCATGATGGCACCTGCCTGTAATCCTAGCTACTCGGGAGGCTGAGGCAGGAGAATCGCTTGAGCCCAGAGGCGGAGACTGCAGTGTGCGGAGATTGCACCACTTGCACTCCAGCCTGGGCGACAGAGCCAGACCCCGTCTCAGAAAGAAAAAAAAAAAAAGCCAGGTATTTTAACAGCAGAAACAAGAGAAAGAGAGAGGGAGAAGGAAGGAAGGAGACGGGAAGGAAGGAAGGAAGGAAGGAAGGAAGGGAGGGAGGGAGGGAGGGAGGGAGGAAGGAAGGAAGGAAGGAAGGAAGGAAGGAAGGAAGGAAGGAAGGAAGGAAGGAAGGAAGGAAAAAAATTTAATTCAGTAGACAAGAACAGACAAATGGAAAGCTTAGGGCTACTTTGTCCTGGAACTAGGGGGGAAATACAGGGTTCTCAGGGGTAGCAGTAAAATAACAGAAAAAAAAACCCCGAATATGGAGGTCATATCAAAGGGTCCAAATGGAGGGTATGGTAGGCGGAACAGTGCCCCCCATTCCCCCAACCCCCCACAGGATGTCCAGTATAATCCTCAGAACCTGTGTGTGTGTGTATGTGTGCGTGTGTGTGTGTGTGTGTGTGTGTGTGTTGCCTAATATGACCAAGGAGACTTTGAAGATGTGATTAAGTTCTGGATTAGCCTGGATTATCCTGATGGATGCTTGTGAAACAGAGGCAAGAGGGTCAGAGTGAGAGAAGGAGATGGAGGATGGAAGCAGAGGCTGGAATGACACAGGCCAGCAGCCAAAGCATGTAGGCAGCCCCTATCTGAGAGGTAGAAAAGGCCAGGAGAGGATTTTCCCTGAAAGCCTCCAGGAGGAATGCAGCCCCGCATCCCATTTTAGACTTTTAACCTCCATAACTGTAAGACAATACATTTGTGTTGTTTTAACCACTAAGTCTGTGGTAATTTGTTACAGCAGCAATAGGGAACTGAGGGGTGACAGTGAAAACCGACTCCTAAAATGACAAAAAGCTGCCTATCCTATATCCTCAGCTTTTTTGCCTGCAAAGTAACCTGTACCTTCACGTAGCCCCATTGCCTGTACCAGACAGATGTGAAAACAACTCAGCACAGCGCAGTTGATAGGGTCGTTTACATTTATGGCTCTTTTGGTCCTCACTCCATGAGGGAGCTGGGACGTATGTTTCTTGGGGCAAGTCA